TGTACATACAGCACCTCTGACCGTATTCATTTCCAATAAAAGTATGTCAAATATTTGCTATTGTGGAAGGTAGAGAGACACAATCGTACGAGAGAGAGAGTGAGAGAAACAACGTCATTTCGGGACTAACATATGGTTCAATTTTGTATCAATACTGCGTTTACGCGTCTTTAGCAGTGGGAGGAAACCGGAAGACCTAGGTAAAACCCATGAGATTGGACATGCGACCCTACTCCTTGTCACGTACAACCGGGTAATCGAAACCAAGCCAGTTGACTCAATGATACAACGTGCTAGCCATTCAAATCCCCCTCAATCGTACCAGATACATGCTGGATTTCCTGAAAACACCTATGGGGAGCCGACAAGACAAAAATGTAAGGGTATCACTAACTGGTGGCCTGTCTGCTCCAGTAATGTAAGGGGCGCTCCGTATGTGTTGATCTAATGGCTAGCGGTCGTGAGGGCATCGAGAGACTTAAAAGTCAAGTACTAGACCCGGCGATTAAACCGCGGAAATAAAGAAGTTGGTGGAGGATAATCCAATAATTTACCTAGGCTTTAAAATTTATGGTTAATAAATAGCGACTAACGACAGATACAATTTTAAAATGGATCCTACCTCAACCGAGTCACGTGACAAACAAGACTACTTAAATAGATTCTTAAGGCATAGGGTAGTTCTCCAATCTGATTAAAATACAGATCTATATTTCGTTTCGTTTTTTATACTTTCGATGGCCTCTACTACATGAAGATCTGACAAGTTATAGCGATAGGTCACGTCAGGGGTCAAACGACCGGCTTATGACCCTATGACGTCAGACATTTGATTAACCAATCAGCATTGATGTTACTAGTGGATTACCCACAGTTTCGTACAAAACACGCCTAAAGCTCGCCGTAACAGACCGTTTCATTGGCTTATCCCTGACACCATTCAGAACACGAGTTAAATAACAACTCTTCCAGATCCAAGTGTAGTAAATACAAGTAAAACGAAATTTTGAACTATAAAAACGAAACGAAATAGGATCTGTGTTTTAACCAGATTGGGCAGTTCTCTTGTGATTTAATTGTTTTGAGGAGCATTTTGAAGCATTGATATATATTTATTAGTTTGAATATGTTTTGAGTCCGACATCATCAAATCACGCAGTTTGTACGCAGGGAGGCATGTTTAATAAGAATCAAATCACCATAGTTAATCTCCAATACAGGGCTTAGACCTTTAAACTATAAGTCTAGCTAAACAACGGGACATCTCTCATTGATTTGGTTTTATGTCAAGTGTTAGGCTGTGATATTAATCTATAGGATTGATTCTATTGATCTTAGTCGTAGACAGACATAAACAATCAACTGGTAATCAATCATACTTCATCATATAAACACCGCTATAACAATAAATCGTTAGAAGCCCGACTGTGATGTAAGCATAGGCTAATTCTACTGCCGGAATAGCGTACATAAGTGACATAGTGACCTACTGAGGGAGGGGGGGTTGGGATATAGTTATCTTCAAAAAGAGAGAGAGAGAAAAGGGGTTTAACGTCCACTCGACACAAACTAGGTCATTTCGGGACTAACATATGGTTTAATTTACTTTCAATAATTCGCTTGCGCGTAGGGGTCTTTAGCAGTGGGAGGAAACCGGGGGACCGGGAGAAAACCCACGAGATTGGACAGGCGACCCTACTCCTTGTCACGTACAACCGGGGATTCGAACCCACGCCAGTTGACTCAATGACAGGCCTTATGATACGGCGCGCGCGTGCTAACCATTCGGCCATCCACTCCCCCTCCCACCCCTATCTTCAAAAAAAAAATGAAAAGGGGTTTAACGCCCTACTTTTTGTCCTTTTCTACATACAGAGAGAGAGAGAGAGAGAGAGAGAGAGAGAGAGAGATGGGGGTTAAAGTCCACTCGACACAAACTAGGTCATTTCGGGACTAACATATGGTTCAATTTTGTTTCAATAATTCGCTTTGCGCCTAGTGGTCTAGAGTGCCGCGCTTTGACCTCTAGCTGGCCGGTCGCCTCAGGTTTGCGGCTGTGGTTTCGATCGCGTATGTGACTTGGATATAGGGGCGCCTTCTCAACCTCGTGGGTTTTCTCCGGGTACTCCGGTTTCCTCCCACAGGAAAGACCCCTGCGCGTGTGCTAAGATAATAATTATAATAAAAAAAATGGAAAATAAGTCTTGTCAGCGATATCGCCTTCGATGGAAGCGGACGTTAAACACTAAGAACAACAACAACTACTGAGGACACTAACCTAAACCCTTTTTGTTTGAGCATTGTTGCCCAGTTGAACATAGTCACCCACTGGGAACATTCACCCTGGATCATTTTGGGACATTGTTGCCCAGTAGTTGAATTCTGGCCATTTGCATGAGGCATGCGTAAGAATTGCGTAATATATTGAAGTGACTACGTCACTCGTGTTGTTTCAATATCGTTCTCGACCATTAAACCACAGTTCAAATCACTATTTCGTCCATTAAATTTGGACTACTGACAGTCGACAGACAACCCTAAGCCGACTTGACATAAACTAGGTCATTTTGGGGCTAACATATAGTACAATTGCACGTAGGGTTTTATATCTTGGGCCAGCATTGTTGTACCACCTACACCATACTCCTGAAGCAATGACCCGAGAAACCCTCTCTGTCCATTGCTGGATTGGCTTCTGATACTTGAGCTTTTGAGGGAGTGTGTTAATTCTTCCCGTTCTATCAAATCTATCCCAAATACAGCAACATGACACCCCTTCGTTTAATCTGGGTCTTCCCTAAAACTTTGGAAAGTGATTTAAGGTATTAAAAACGGTGAAAGTATTGTTCGTCTCCAAACAGTATTGTTTACACTGCAGCCGTTTGATAGCCTCGTTTGTCACGCAATTAATCTTTCTGCAATATTCAGCTATGCACTAGTTAATTGGGCGTAATAAAATTGTGAGTCATGACGTAACGTTATGTAAACAAATTTGGTCCAATTTGGAACCCTGTTTAAAGCGTAATGATATTGTTACGCAGTTAGTTATTGGTTGTTAATCGGACTATTGACCAGTCATAATCTTGAACAGAAATTTGCTTCCATCACAACAGTGTTAATTGGGATTTGCTCTAATCAAACGAAACACTGCGAGGAGTATGCACCTACTCTCGAAAGGCAGCCCCTGGGGTCCGACAGGCAATAATATTAACCAGTTATAGAGATTCGTCGAATCTTTCCGAAATTTAATTATTGCGAATTATTGCGAATCAACACTAGACTACTGTCGGGCATTAGGGGGGGGGGACTGAATAGTTAGCACGTGCCCGCTGTATCATAAGGTCTGTCATTGAGTCAACTGGCGTAGTTTCGATTCCCCGGTTGTACGTGACAAGGAATAAGGTCGCCTCTCCAGACCCGTGGGTTTTTCTCCGGGTCCTCCGGTTTCCTTCCACTGCTTTAGATCACCACGCGCAAGCGAATTATTGAAATAAAATTAAACAATATGTTAATCCCGAAATAACCTAGTTTGTGCCAAGTGGACGTTAAACCCCATCTCTCCCTCACCCCCTTCTCTCTCTCTCTCTCTCTCTCTCTCTCTCTCTCTCTCTTGGGAATTATTTACAATAATTTTTTGAACAAATAAATTCGACAATCATGAATCATCTAATTCGGCACCACAAGATGTGGTAAATCACGGGTTTTGATTTGGCAAAAACTGTCTTGTAAATAAGAAAATTAGCTTAGTTTTCTGAGCTTGAATATTGATGGATTTTTTGCGAAGTGATTTATCTTAAAATTTCTATTCTTTTTTAACGAACGGCCGTTTGATAGTCTGAGTTCTACCATCTTTCTGGTGTCAAGACAATGTTCTCCTACATTTCAAAATTTAATAAGTAACTAAATTGATTTCAAATATTAATTTAAAATCTAATCCGGCGAAACAAAACACTACTGGATTATTTTCAATATATTTGGAGGCATATGGAAGAGAGAGAGAGAGAGAGCATATGGAACAGAGAGAGAGAGAGAGAGAGAGAGAGAGAGAGAGGGGGGTTTAACGTCCACTCGACACAATTTAGGTCATTTCGGGACTAACATATGGTTCAATTTTATTTCAATAATTCGCTTACGCGTACGGGTCTTTAGCAGTGGGAGGAAACCGGAGGACCCGGAGAGAACCTACGAAGTTAAACAAGCGACCCACTCCTTCACACGTTCAAGCGCGGAATCAAAACCACGCTACTTGACTCAATGACAGGTCTTCTGATTCAACGCGCACGCGTTAACCATTCGGTCACCCAGCCCCCCAAGAGGACAGGATTAGTTTTTACGAACACATATTATCGGTCGACATGTAAATTTCTATATCTGGCAGTATCAAGTCAAACTTGGTGAAATGAAAAGAATTAGGGTTATAACGTCCTACTGTCCTGCACCGACTGGGCTAATGGAAATGAAGGTTATTTTGCACGGGCAGCAGCACTCCTACTTTTACTTCGAAATCCAAATGTCATGTGGTGTTTTACGTGCACGCCAATGTGTACACGGGACCTCGGTTTTTCGTCCCTTCAAACTATATACTATACGTTGTTCCTTGCCAGGTCTCCCGCCCTGTTTCCGACGTGGTGTCTTCTTGTCAGTAATACAGGACGTATGGCCTGACAAGGACAACTGTATAGTGATTCGGATGAGGTCCCGTGTATACATAAGCGTGCATGTCAAAGATCCCTTGGCAGTTCGAATTCGATATAAGATTAGGCCATAGTGCCGCTGTCCGGGGGAAAATTTCCCTCGTAGCACACTGTATGGCGTATGCTCATTTTCATTATCCTAGTTGGAGCAGAACAGTAGGACGTTAAGCCCTATTTCATTCATTTCTCGATCCCTGCGCCACTGCAGAGGGGAACCACGCCCGAAAATTCCGGAATCGTTTGTTTTGGTAAAAGTATGCATAGCATGAACCAATTATTTAAACAACATATAAGTTCGTTACTTACTTCAAATCTCAAGTTCCCGACTGGTGGTGCGGCATAGGGTATTCCAAAATATCTCTCAATGTCACCAATATCCTTTACCGTGTGTACATACCCTTTAACCTTGCCTAATCTAGTATCCCGAGTCACATATTGAACGGATTCTTTCTCCGATATTACAGCCTGTACACATGTCAACAATAATATGACAATGGCTAAAAGTTTTCCCCAGTTGGGAATGAGTAACGGTATATTTCTGACAATACTACAACCCCACGGCAACATGGTGGCAAGTATCCGTTAAGAATAGTTTTGGAGAGCGTTAAATCCCAAAGTATTCGTCATAAAAATAACACTACACTCGCTTACACCACACACGAGCCATTCATCATCAAAGCGAACGTCCACAGGATTCATTTAACTGCTTGTTAGCTTGAGAAGAATTTCCTATTTCTTCAGCATATTAATAGTACGCCACAGAAAGAGGAATATTGTGTTATGTGTTAACGTAATCCGTAGACATTCCTGTAAATGGTTATAGATTACTCCCCAAAGAACACAAGCAATTTATGAATGTTATGTATGAGATGATATGTTATTTAAAAACAACTATGCATGAATAGCCTGCCATGTTTCGTCTGTTGATGAGAACAGAATACCTTATAATAATAAAGAAATAGGTTTTGTAATGCTACAAATATATTGACGAATTTGTAAAATAAATGCTAGGGAAACTCTTAGAACGTGGATTTAAAGTGACCCAAGGAGAGAGAAAGAGAGAGAGAGGGGGGAGAGAGAGAGAGAGGGAGAGAGAGAGATGTGTGGAGGGGGGGGGGGCAGAGATACGTAACGTCCTCTCAAAACAATGTCAATTTGGGACTAACATAATATGATACCATTTTATTTTAAATATTCGCTTGTGCGTAGGGTCTTTCGAAGTGGGGAGACAACCGGAGGACCCGGAGAAAATCCATGGGGTTAGGCAGACGACCCTACTACGTATCAAGTACAAGCGTGGGGTGAAAACTGCACTCCCTGACTCAGTGACAGATATAATGATCTAAAGCGTACTCAGCCTCAGTAGCACAACTAACGATGCTTGAGTGGCGACTCTATTGGAGACATCAAACCGGTAGGAACCACTCACTTGTCCTTCTGCACAAAATCCTGCGGTAATTTAGAATTGAATTATGTTTGGACCAATAGGATTTATAATAGACATACTATTGTGTATGGTTTCAAATTATTGAGAGAGAGAGAGAGAGAGAGGGGGTCATGTTCACTCGATACAAACTAGGTCATTTCGGGACTGAGACATGGTTCAATTTTATTTCAATAATTCGCTTGCTCGTAGGGGTCTTTAGTAGTGAGAGGAAACCGGAGGACCCGGAGAAAACCCACGAGGTTGGACAGGCGACCTTACTCCTTGTCACGTACAACCGGAGAATCGAAACCACACCAATTGACTCAGTGACAGACCTTATGATACAACACGCACGCGCTAACCATTCGGCCATCCAACCCCCCTGTTTATAAGGTAGTTATTTATTAATATAATAATGATAATAATAATAATAATAATAATAATAATATATATTGTTTATAGACCGTTACACACAAATTGTCTCAACCGTCTTTACATGGGCGTACTACACATAGTATATACATAGTAATAAATGAATAAAAGCTATCATTATTCAGCATGAATAATATACAATGTCTTGTATTGACTTCCGATACGGATGTTTACATGACAGGATGCAGCCTTGGGATAATGGCCCCAAGCAGAATCACAATGATAAGGATATTTCCTCCACATAAACCAAAGGTAATCGATTACTAGAATTGTTATATTCAGTTTAAAGAGCCATTATCACACTAATAAATATTATAAATGGTACTTATTTTTAAAAATGTATAATTTAAAAATAACTCTAGGCCGACCTACTTACTCGGGCTTACACGGGCTTTCTTTAGATCTCATTTACAACACTTAAAAGTTGGCCAAATTTCTAATTTAAAATTTAAAACATGAATATTTGGACGATTGATCTCAATGTGTGTATATGGGAGCCGCGGTGGTTCAGTGAGTAACAAGTTGGCTAGCTAACCTGGAGGTCCCCTGTTCAATCCCGGTGTTGACCGAGAAAATTTATTCTCCGGAGTGGTTCCCCCTTGTCAGTGATGTGGGGCGCAGGGCCTTGCAAGGGAAGCGTATGGTCGTTCGGATTCGGATGCCACAAATACGCAAGTCCCGTGAAATGAAATGAAATGGGTTTTAACGTTCTACTGTTCTGCTCCGAACTGGGCTAATGAAGACGGGCGTACGCCATACAGTGTGCTATGAGGGAAAATTATGCCCGGACAGCGGCATTACGGCCTACTCTTATATCGAATTCCAACTGCATCAATGACAAGGGAGAAACACGCCGGAAAATCTGGATGAACTTTCTCGTCCAATGTAGGGATCGAAAACCCGACCTCCAGGCTAGTGAGCCAGCATCTTACCCACTTAGTCACCGTGATTCTCCCTCCCCCAAGTCCCGTGTACACATGGCTTCTTTAATACATATACTAATGGTTATGATGATTATCATGTGGAATATGTCACAATATGTCTATTTATTTGTATACTTCCTACCAAAAAGTAGTTGCCCCACCTTTGGGAGAAATTGCCAGACACCATTTCCGTTTTCGTTGGTACTGAATTGTGTCTAGTCCTGGTGAATTCGTTTTGCATTCCAGCTAGGGAGACATTTCACGATCGGGAAGAGGGTCGGGGAGAGCAGTGTGGGTGTGTGTGTGTGTGTGTGTGTGTGTCACAGTGTGATTGGTCAATCTGTGTTTTTTCATACTCCTCGCAGTGTTTCGTTTGATTAGAGTTATTCCCACTAAACACTGCTTTAATGGAAGCAAATTTCTGTTCCAAATTATGACTGGTCAATAGTCCGATTAACAACCAATAGCTAACTGCATAACAATATCGTTACATTTTAAACAACGTTCCAAATTGGACCAACTATGTTTACATAACGTTACGTCATGACTCACGATTTTATTATTCCCAATTAACCAGTGCATCGCAGAATATTGCAGAAAAATAAATTGAGTGACAAACGAGACTATCAACACGAATACAATGTAAACAATACTGTTTGGAGACGAAGAATACTTTCACCGTTTTTAATACCTTAAATCAATGTCCAAAGTTTTAGGGAAGACCCCAGATTAAACGAAGGGCTGTCAAGTTGCTGTACTTGGGATAGATTTGATTGAACGGGTAGAATACACACACTCCCTCAAAAGCTCAAGTATCAGAAGCCAATCTAACAATGGGCAGAGAAGGATTTTTAGACGTATAAGATAGCATGACAACCTGGGCTTGGCTTTACAACCACCGTACATCAAAGGGAGATGACTGACGTTGACCAAGATGAATTATAAAACAATACTAGATGATCAATCAAATGAACCTTCAAATAAAATAGAGTGAAGTTAACAACCTACAGATGAGTGAAGCGATTCTTAAAAAAAAAGAAAGTCCGGACTGTGTCAAAGATCGTGACAGGATGCATTCGGAACCTTTATGGGACGATCTCGTGTTGTTTTTTTTTATATATAAATATAACATCTAATACATGATATTTTGGACAGGTTAATTCAATTAAGATTGTATACAGTCCGGACACGTGGAGTTTCGTTTCGTTTTTTATAGTTCAAAATTTCGTTTTACATTTCTTTACTACACTAGGATCTGTTATATAATCCGAGTTATTGTTGATGTGAGGGATTAGCCAATGAAACGGCCCGTTGCAACGAGTTCTTGGCGTGCGATGCACAGAACTGTGGTATCCCACTAGAAACATCAACGCTGATTGGTTATGTCTGACATCATAGGGTCAAAAGCCGCTCGTATAACCCGTGACGTGACTTTCTACTACAACTGGTCAGATCTTAGTGTAGTAGAGGCCATGACGATATATATATCGGTATTTTAATCCGATTGAATAAAACAGTGGTGTATTCAGTTGTATGGATAGAGTTTACAGTCGTTGGGACGTACTTAAGCTGTTAAACAAAAAGCGGCGTTTTCGTGAAAAAAATGAAATTGTGTCAGCCGTATTGTCCTTCTGCTGTTCCGTCAGTAAAATCCAATTTGTTTCCCATCAAGGTGACCAAATATGCCACATCGAGTGGACATACCACCCCTTGCTTATTAGGTACGCTGCTGGTTACATTTAAGGGCCATAAAGCAAACAAACAAATTGTACTACACACGCAAAATAACCACCTAAGCAACGCCGACTCGACTAGGAAAGAAACTAGCTCACTAACCAGGAGGTCCTGGTGTCAATCCAATAGCAGGCTGAGACAGTTCTTCGGCATTTTGGCGAGATTTTTCCTTGGCAGTGGTGCAGGGTGAAGAGCGGGGATGCTGGAAAGAAACGGCTCCTTGTTGTTCTGATTGGACGACAAACTGATTTAGGTCAAAATATAGTATTGAACTGGATTGATCTAGTGAACGGGGACGTTCCCCGGGATTGTTCGGCACAATTTCACCTTGGTGCAAGACTGGGGGGAGGGAAGCTGACAAGGACAGCAGTCTAGCCACTCGCATGGGACGAAAAACTTAGGTCCCGTGTACACTGTTGGAAATCGATATAAGAGTAGGCCGTATTGCTAATATCCGGGAAAAATTTCCCAGGTAGCTCACTGCAGGGTATATTCCCATCTTCATTAGCCCAGTCGGTACAAGAAAGTAAGACGCTAAACCCCATTTCAGAATTCGTATTGCGTCCAACGAGGAGCCGTGGTAGCTCTTTGGGTGGGGCGCTCTCTCACTGACCTGGAAGTCCCGTGTTTGATCCAGGTGTTGACCTAGAAAGTTCATCGAGATTATCGGGCGTCCCCCGCCCTCCTTGTCAGTGGTACAGCTGGGCGGAGGATCTGGCAAGGCACAGCGTCTAGTCATTCGGATAGAACAAAAAGTAGGACGTTAAACTCCCTTTCATTCATTTAGCTTCCAATCGCATGATGTAGTGTGGTAGAATTTGATATTCCGTAATGTCTTGACACAAAAACCTAATTTTAGCACCTGTCTGCTGTATATCGCACCTGCTTACACCTGTCTACAAGCTTTCATGATGGAAACCCGACCTTTAACAGGTTACCCATGTCATTAGTATTATTAATGATAGAAGGTTTCGTGTATAACACGGAGAAAGATAAAAACTTATCTTCTAGAAAACAACGTTAATAACATTGGCGAGTAGAGTCAGAATATTTTTTAAAAATCAACCAGGCTATTGGCAAACTTCCATATCTTTATAGTTATAAAATATTTTTTGGTTTCTTCATTCAGTTATCATTTTATTCGTTGGAGGTGTTGTATTGATTGATGCGAATCGTTTGGGGTTAATTATAGATATACTGTATCTTTATAGAGGTTAATAGCATAGATGCGCTATATCTTTATTTGATATCTATGGTTAATATATCTATACTAATATTTGTGACTGTCGTTTGTCTGTCT